GTCTGGGGTGGAGATGTACAGCTGAGTACCTAACATTCATACCACTAATTAATTACAGATTTCAAGAATGTTCCAGAGAAAAGTTGGCATCATATAGCGTTCATAAAAAGCTTTGGTTAAAGATTTTCATAATTTGCACAGAGATATAAGAACATTAGACTTTCACTGTATTGATCAATAAATCAATTAGAAATAACATTTTAAATTTTTTTCTGGATTTCCAACTAATTGGAAATTCCAGATCTGAATTAGAGAAGATGTTAAGCCTCAATCCACAGCTTCTCTGCCTCAATCCACAGCTTCTCTGCTGTTCTGCCTCTATTTTTAAAAAGAACAGTTTTTTTTTCTGAGTTGGTGTAATGTGGACTGAGGAGGCTGTAAACTACACAAGGGGATATATGCATTCTGCTGCCAGGAAAATAATATTCACAGCCAGTAAGAAATCCATTAAAAACAAAATTGCTAGAATTGCTAATGCTGATCAAAGCATTTAACTGACCTTGATCCTTAAAGACTTCCATCCCTCCTCTCTCCTCTTGATAGTTAAACCCAAACTGTTAATAAGAATTTCTAGGGGGCCTATGAAGAGAGAAGGAATGTTGATTGTTTCTTCCAAGCCAATGATATCAAGTGACAGTGTGATAATAAGCGGGCTGATGAGGATTCAGCTTATGAATATTTTTTGTTTATATGTTTTAATATTATGTGGAGGAATTGAAATTTATCTAATAACCATGGAAAGAAGAAGGAAGGAAGGAAGGAAGGAAGGAAGGAAGGAAGGAAGGAAGGAAGGAAGGAAGGAAATCTATTACAAATTACAGAGACTCTGACAAATTAAATATAACAATTCCTATTTATAGGTCAAAATGACTTCTATTTAAACCTTTCAGCCTCAAAGTTACAACACAGATTCGAAAGAGAAAAATCCAACTTCTATTTCCTACATCACATACGGCATATTGTCTTAATTGTAACCAGTGGGGATGGTTAGTTTAATTGTACAAATACCTTTTCATCAGTCAGGATCCCATCTTATGCTTGGAACAGATCCAATTGCTCAAGGCAATATCATATCACTGCAACTGATGCCAGGCTAATGCCAGGCTTCCAGCTGGTCAATGCTTATACATCCATTTGAAGAAAACAATAATTTGTCTGGACAAATATTACATGGCTGCAGTCTAGACTAGACCATTACTAACATTTTAAAATAAGCAGAACAGAGAAAGGTCTTAGAAAGTAGATTAGATTGATAGAGTCAGAAATTTATAATCTTAAAATACAGAAGACTATTCTATGTGCTTATCCAGGGACTTCTAATACTGTATAACAAGTTTTTTCTATATTTCTGATTACTGATTCCACAGTGGTTAATTAATTTTTTTAAAAAAAATTATCTGCACTCTATTTGTTCCCATATGTAACTTTGCTGAGAAAAGTATGATATGAAAATGAAAGTGCAATCATATTGTTTAATTTAATATCAGTGGAAAAAGGGCAGGAGTTGGCATTATTGCAAACTATTATTTATTATGAGACCATAATAAATGTGCCATCTAGAATATTATGATGTCCTTCCTTCCTTCCTTCATACCAGATAGAGTAATATAGAGTAGATATACCTGCTTTTTAACTCTTCATTCTCTCTTTTTCTCTGTTTTTCTGTAGGCACCCACAATTTGCCACAATGATGGCAAAATTACAGAATATGCTCATAGAAGTGGTGAAATCCAATTTTTTTTACTAACGGTTCTGTGGGCGTGGTGTGGCTTGGTGGGCATGCTTTGGTGGGCAGGGCAGGAGAAGAATACTGCAAAATCTTCATTCCCATTCCACTCCAGGGGAAGGATACTGCAAAATCTTCATTCCCACCCCACTCTGGGGCCAGCCACAGGTGGTATTTACCAGTTCTCCAAACTACTCAAAATTTCCACTAACGGTTCTTCAGAACCTGTCAGAACCTGCTGGATTTCACCCTGGTTCATAGGCTTTCTCTTACAGTTATGTTGCAATTTCATATCCAAGTAAATAGAGGAATTTACAAACACAGTGTTGTGATGCACATTTTGTTACTTGTTTCCCCATGGATATTTGCACACTTTAGTTTTAATTATCTTAATGCTCCCTTGTGTCCTCAAGTACATTTTTTATGTCACCATCATTGTCCCACAGCAAAAATGCAGAGAATATAAACAGCTGTCATGTCTGAGCAAGTGTAGGAAAGGAAAAGGCCAAATGAACATCATAGAAAGGGAAATACCTAGAAAGATAACACTGGATTGTAACACAAAGGAAACCAAAGTTATGAAATCAAACTTAAGTGATTGTCAACTGTAGTGCTTTCCATTTGTTTATTTATAACGAAGATAATAATTATAGCTGTGTTGCATCTCTGGGAAGCTTCATTGAAAATTGTACCTCAGTGGCACAAATGTTAACAACAATCAATAAAGAAAAGTTTCTCAATAACAGCATATAAATGTAATATATTATTATATACACAACAATATGAAACCATAACTGCCATTTCTATAACTGGTATTAATTTTTATATGTATCAAATATATGAGGGTATAGTATATTTGCAGATGAAAGCAGTGTTATTCCAGACAATCACAAAATATAAAAACTTGCAAATTAAATAGCATGATGAGAAAGAAAGAAGAAAAAAAGGAAGGAAGGAAGGAAGAAAAAAGAGAGAGAGAGAGAGAGAAAGAAAGAAAGAAAGAAAGAAAGAAAGAAAGAAAGAAAGAAAGGAAGGAAGAAAGAAAGGATAATATCTATAGTAATAGGCTTCTTGGGTGTAATTACAAAACGTGGAGTACTACTTGAATACCACTTGACTTGATCATCAGTCAATTGAAAAACACAGCTTTACTTAGAACAGCTTACATTCTGTGACAAAACCTTCTAAATTATTAAACAACATCTGCCTTCCCACACCCTGGGAAGTACTCAATAGGTAGATAAAACTACTAAATCTAGTCTAAACATCTGGCTGACTGTGTAACCAACCATAATAGTAATAAGTATTAGTTTTTTCCCAAGTCAAAGAGAGCATTGAGGTTGATAGCAAATAGAAGAGCTTCTCTTTCCAAGTTCTATCGGACGTATATATGTGCAATTATAAGTTGCCTTCTTACACAATGCCATTTTGCTGTATTTTCCATAGACTAGACAGTCAGTTAGCTAACATAGGCTTGCTGAAGTTGTTCAAATTGTTTCTTTATAATACATATGACAGTAAGACCTTTTTTCAGTTCTGTTTCTGTTCTTTCGTTTGTGCATATGTCTATGTGTGTAATTCTTTACTTGCTTGGGGTTCCTTAAGGGAAAAAAAAAACCCTCTCCCTATTTTAAATATTTAAATTGTCAGCATTGAAATTAAAAACAATGGCCACCTTCGTTTATCATCTTGAAGCACATTATATTAACTGATTTTATTATCTCAAAATGCTGGAGGTGTATTATTCTGAATATAATTTCTCCCATTTTGGCACAATCAAGTGCTAGGTAAGCATTTGTTGGCAAGCAGCAAGCATTTCAAGGTTTTAAAACAGAAAGCAGAATGCAACATTTCCATCCTACAGAAAGGAATGCTTATAGGTCAAACATCTGCAGCAGCTTTTGTTCTGATATTATATCATGTTCAGAATGTACTGATGTGAGTCTTGTTCTGTTAGGCAACAGCAAAAAAAAAGTGCTTATTTCTCCTCCTGCCTCAGCATATTTTTGTGACAGATTTTTTTCCTCCTCTCCTCAAACAGTCTTTATCTCTGAGTACAGTCCTCCTGATATGATGGCTCAGTAACATTTGTAACATCCCTGCTGAGCATTACATGTATCCCAACTTCCAAGAATGAAATTAGAAAACATTTGAGCTCTGAACATCAGGTTGGAGAGAAACACAGGGTACCATTCTTCCCCCCCCCCATCATATTCTATGGAGATAGACATGATATTGTAGCCAAATCAGCAACTGCCAGATGGCAGATTCTCATTTCAGTTAAACATGAATGACTTAATGAATATAAAAGGTATGATTTGAAGCCCAATTTTAATTTAATCTCCCATATCAGAAGCTTTAAGGCCAAACAATGGAGTTTTGCAACAACACAAGAGGACATCATGCTGCAGCAATTTCTTTTCCTAGAACTTAACACTGTGCCTTGTGGCAACAGTGTGAAGTTGGAGAAATAAACACAACAGAAGACTGGATTGAGACAGCAAGTAGTCTTAAATATGTTTGTTGAGAATTGGAACTATAGAAAGTAATGGAACATTTTCTTACTTTATATTACTTAGTATAATATTTTATCTTGCTTTGAAAAAATATTGCATATATGTTTATGTCTATCTATCTGTCTATCAGTCTATCCATCCATCCATCCATCTATATCCACCACCACCACCCTCTCTCTCTCTCTCTCTCTCTCTTTCTTTCTTTCTTTCTTTCTTTCTTTCTTTCTTTCTTTCTTTCTTTCTTTCTTTCTTTCTTTCTCTCCCTCCCTCCCTCCCTCCCTCTCTCTCTCTCTCTCTACCTATCAGCAAATGCTTTCAGATAGGTTTTGGTATATATTCCTTCTTCTCCGAGAAATTCTGCCTGCTGTAATTTGGTGCAGAATGTTGGAATAGAATACTTTGGGAATTACTCCAAAGTTGCTCAAGGAGTTTCTGAGAAGAGTGGTAGATCAGAGAGAAGAAAGAGACAGAAGAGGCAGCTGTAACTGAATAACAAAAACCACTATGTCTTCCCAAAGACACTAAAGAATTGTAACCTAGCCCTCTGCTCTCAGAGAACATTTGTCAAATGCAGTAGAACTAGTGACTGACAAGGACCAGGCAAGCAAAAGTAATTCTGATCACTAATTGAAATATTTATTCAATCACTTCTTTTCATTCCTCCAGTTCTTTTCTTATTAATATATTTCTCCCATTCTGTTACACTATTCCTGATTTTAAAGAAAGAGTTTAGTAAACCACAGCCCCAAGCATTCATCTCTCTCTCAGCAATTTTTTATTGTAGTGAAATGACTGGGTGTAAAAAAGGCCAAAATGCTGTTATCTCAATTCCCATAGTTTTCTTCTTCTATAGCCAGAAGGATTGTGCAAGTTATGAGGAAACCATGGATAATAGCTGAATAAAGATGGTATTTCAAAAGTCCTTCTCAATTGGGGGTCTTTATAAATTCTAGTAAAGAAAAAGAACAAAACTTTTCCTCAGAAAATTTCCAATTGGCTATACCTCAAGTTCCACATTCTTTTCCCCAAAGTTATATCTTATTGCTTATTGCTTAACGCATTGTAAGCCGCCCTGAGTCTCGGGAGAAGGGCGGCATATAAATCAAATAATATATATATATATATAAAAACTGGCAACAGTGGTAGTTATCATCAGCAGTGGTGACAGCTACTAATGTTGCTACAAGAAAGTTGTGTGGGTGCTAATACACCTACCCTTTTCTGCTTGGAAAGACAGATTTTTGCCAGATATCCAGAGGCCAAGATCTCAGAGAAAATAGCTTTTCTTAAGATTTCAGGTATACGGAGTATGGCCATTCATTTCCTTCCATTTCTGCAATCAGCAAGTAAGTTCTTGTGTGGGAGTGAAGCTATTTTTCTTCAGTATCTTTGAATGGCCTACTCTACAATGTTTATATACTTTAGAGCAGAGAAAAATAGTGGCCCTGTGAAAGAATTCATTTTAACCCTGGGATGACAGCAGGTCAAAACAACCAAGATGGCTGTTACATATGTAAATAGCAAGTGAAGCCAGGGATGTAGTCTTCACTCAGGTCCGGATTTAGCTGGACATTTGCATGCCCACCACTGATTGGTGGATTCAAACAGGGCCCGCCACTAATTAGTGGATTCAAACGGAGGCAAATGTAAAGCGTTGTCAGTGGCTGAATCAGTGGGACTGCTCCCTTTAAAAGGGAGTGTTGCCGGCTCAGCCTTAGCAGAAGTCACTTACTTAAATAAAGAGCTGAAGTTACTGTCTGTCCTCCTGCCTCTTCATTGCCTCCCACGATCTAACACTGGCGACAAAGGTGGAATCAAAGAGGATGAAGGACTCAGGCTGAACAGAAGGAGCAACATGTGGCATCCACCATTATCCAGCAGCTGAACCACTGCATCAATTCCAGGATGACGTCTTACGTTCCACCAGCTCCATTCAATCCAGTTAAGGAAACATGGAAGAAATACATGCTTCGATTCCATTGTTTCCTGGAAGCCAATGACCTGCTAGGACACTCGGACAACCGAAAAAGGGCACTTTTCCTGAGCTACTGTGGACCCAAAGTCCTCGACATGGCGGAAGCTGTTTCAGAACCCGCTGACCTGCAGACCGTACCGTGGCTGACACTGCAAGAAGCACTCCGGGTTCACTATGCTCCCGTACCCTCTCCGATGGTTTACAAGCATGAGTTTTACCATCGGAACCAAGAGGACAGTGAGACCATCAATCAATATGTTACAGCCCTAAGGAAGACTGTGACGCGCTGTGAATTCAGCAACATAGAGGAGGCCATGATGTATAGATTGGTTTTTGAACTCAGAGACCTGCAATTGCAAAGGCGATTACTATCCAGGCTGACCCTCACATTCAAAATCACTTTAGAAGAAGCGTGGCCAGCTGAAGCTATAGATCGAATGGCAGCGGCAATCCAGAAGAAGGGAAGAACCAACGGGCAGCCGAAAACCACCATTGTGAACCAGGAGCACTGGGAAACTGATGACACTACTGATGATGACAAGGTGGACAATTTTCTTAGCAGCTTACAATTACCAGTTAATACATTGACCGGGCAAGGACATCGGACATGCAGATGCCCTCAGCCGGTGCCCCCTTCCAGACCTCATTGAAGACCCAGCACCACTAGCACCCGTTCTACTCATTGAGGACTCCACAGACATCCCACTGACAGCAACGGACATAGCGGGTCAGTCAACTAAAGACAGAATCCTGTCAAGGGTTTTGAACTGGGTGTTGAAAGGTTGGCCAGAGGAACCATGGGGGGAGGAATATAAACTATTTGTAAATAAGAAATGGGAATTGTTGGTACAGAAGGGGTGCCTATTGTGGGGAGACAGGGTGGTAATTCCACAAAAACTAAGGGAACAGGTGTTAGAAGCGCTGCATGTGGGTCACCCTGGGATAGTACGCATGAAGGCTCTGGCTAGGAGTTACATGTGGTGGCCCAACATGGATAGGGATGTTATGGAGTGGGTGGCAACATGCACCCCCTGTCAGGAATCTAGACCAGCGCCACCCCGGGCACCCGTAAGAGAGTGGGACAAACCAAGGGGCCCATGGTCTAGATTGCACATAGATCTAGCAGGATCAGTCCAAGGCCAAACATTCTTGATCATTGTAGATGCATACTCGAAATGGTTAGAAGTCAATTTGATGCCCAGCATAACGGCTGAGGCAGTAATTAGGGTGTTGAGGAAGGTATTTTCCACTCACAGGTTACCCAGTGTCTTGGTATCAGATAATGGGGCACAATCCACCACCAGACAATTCGAGGTATTTTTAGCTGAACAGGGCATACAGCATGCATTGGTCGCACCATATTCACCAGCCAGTAATGGGCAGGCTGAACAAATGGTTAGAGTGACCAAAGAAACACTAGCAAGAATGGGCCCTGGGGATTGGCAAACCAAAATAGACAAATTCCTATTAATGCAACATATAACCCCTAGCATGACCATGAATAGGAGTCCAGTTGAGCTACTCATGGGAAGAAAGCTAAGATCCTGTTAGACAGACTGCACCCCAATTATAGCACAGACACCCCCATCGATTCTACCAATAAGGTCAGGAGTTTCCAGGTAGGGGATCTAGTATATGCTCACAATTATGCAGGGACTCCTGCTTGGTTAAAGGCAAAAATAATTAACATTACGGGTTCCAAGTCATACCAGGTAGAACTATAGGATGGAAAAGTTTGGAGAAGGCACATAGACCAACTCCAGGGACGAATAGGGAACTCGAGCCTAAGACAGTTCAAAAATAATCATTCCAAACCAAATGTGAAAAAACCATAGGAATAGACAGTGTCCTGCCCCAAGCAGGATACAAAACAAACATAGCTTGCGGCCTACTTTACCCAGACACAGGGGACCTACTCTCAAGCCCGAGGGAAACTGCACACCCACCTGTAGGGCCAAGCAGCCAGCAACGAGACTCTGGGGAAGTAAGCCAGGCTGGGTCCGCCACACCCACTGAAAGTCTCCAGGAAATTCCATACCAGGGAGTGGGAGCAGCAGCAGGCCTGACTACCCAGGCCACTGCCGCTAACTCGAATGAACCGCGCAAGTCAGGTAGGAACCATCAACGCCCCGCCTACTTACGTGACTATGTGTTGTAGACACCGATGATTGGGTAAGACTATTGGAGAGGGGAGGGGTATTACATATGTAAATAGCAATTGAAGCCAGGGATGTAGTCTTCACTCAGGTCTGGGTTTAGCTGGACATTTGCATGCCCACCACTGATTGGTGGATTCAAACAGGGCCCGTCACTGATTGGTGGATTCAAACGGAGGGAAATGTAAAGCATTGTCAGTGGCTGAATCGGTGGGACTGCTCCCTTTAAAAGGGAGTGCTGCCGGCTTAGCCTTAGCAGAAGTCACTTACTTAAATAAAGAGCTGAAGTTAGTGTCTGTCCTCCTGCTCTTCATTGCCTCCCACGATCTAACACTGGCAGCTACAATAGTGTGATCAAAGCTCCACTGTTTTTTTTAATGTGCATCACACATTAAAGGATCGAGTTTTGCTTGCACTCTTGTAGCTGCTATTCTGATTTTTTTTAAAAAAAAAACAAAGTCTGCAGGCATATCTGATTTTTAATAAAGAGATTTGCAACATGGAGGCAATTTTATTCTCTTCATTCAAATGAAAAAGAAAAGAGAAAATATTAGAAGTGGCCAAGTGATATTCTGGCATGGTTTACCAAAATTGGGCAAGCCACCCAGTCACCTTGTATGGGCGGCATAAAAATTTAATAATAAATAAAAACTATTTCGAAGACAGTGCTGCAAACTTCCTTCAGATTGCTTTTAGAGTTTTTAACTTTTTAAGGAGTTTAGGGAGTAGTACAGAAAAGGCAAGCAGAACTCCTGAAGTTTGGCTAGTGCTGCTAGAGAAATGTTTTGCCAAGGGAAGCAGAACCTTCACACTAGAAATGTAGTCTTGTTTCTTCAAGAAGCAGCTGTGAGGGCGTGTTTTGCTGCAAACATCTCAAAGTGAAACACCCCTTTCAAGATTTGCACAGCACTAAAAATTAATATTCCAAACGAGGAAACGATTATGAAGCCTAGCAATATAGGCAAACTTTCCCAAAGGGGATATATGATTTAGTAACAATTTTAAATAATGTAGGCTACATTTTAAGAATAGTTAACCACATGAAAACTAAGAAAATAAAACTTTCTTGTTTGAAACTTTCCGTTTTGGAAATTGCCCCTCAAACAACCTCTAACAGTCTAACTAGTTTCCAAACTCAATTTTCTGAAGCCAATAGAAGAGCAAACAGGACTACAGTTCACCACACATCTGTAGTGATTTGTGGCCTTTTTAATATACATCTGGCCTGATTATCCTGCATCTAACTCACATCATTATACCATCTGGCATGACTGATATGTACTTACAGAGCAAGATGAGTGGAATTAGGTACTAAAAATAATAGATTGTATATCCAATCCGTATTCTGCCACCATTTTTAGAATATTCATAGGAAATGTATGTCTATGGATGTGTGCAGATGGCAGTTTTTCTGTGCAAAAATAGCATCAAACGAAGTGGGTGCCATAAAATAAAAATGGTACCACTATTAACTTTTGCTCCACAGCTGGGAGACATATTCTTGCATAAGATAACAGTGATTATTAGGAGAATGAAATTATATTGTTTTTGCTGATTATGTATATTGGGTATATTCTAATTTAAACATCTGTAATTTTTAAAAAGTCATTAAAGTTCCTTGGTTTTTTTAAAAATAAATAAGACCCATATTCTGAAGGAAGGTATTGGGTTTTCATTGCTGCAAAGTAGTGGTTATTCAGACCTTTGCAGGCCATATATAGTAGTCCTGTATATACATGGAATAGGCTTTAGATACTTGAGGGATACTTGCCTGTCTCCCACTCCCAATTCAATCTGGTAGGGTGTGTTCACTCAAGATTCCTTCAGTTAAACAATGTCACCTATTAGGATTTCAGTAGTGCACTTTCTTTGAAGCAGCACCTGCCCTCTGGAATAGTTTGGTCAATGGACTACTTACTAAACAGCTCTGTTGGGCTAACAGCAGCCTGACCTTCCGAAGAATATAGCTATGGTCAAAGAGAGAACAGGTTTATTTTTCACACACAGGCAATTTGGTTTTGCTGCATACTTTTTTCTTTTTTGCATAACAGTACAAACATGTCCCTGTGCTCATGTGCCTGTAGCTTTTACATTGAAATAAATAAATTAGCTTAAATGAATAAGTTATTTTTGATTGAAGACAGACTCTTACAGAAACTGATAAGAGAATTTTGGAAACTTTTTTTGTGCAATGTGAGTTTTATAACTTTTGGGTGGATGGCGATTTCCACAAACAGTTTCTTCTGCTTTTAAGTACAGAAAATAATGGCACTCCTTAGTTTTCCAAGATTTCCCCC